ATAAATCATGATCTTGTATTTGGAGATTTTATTGGAGATTTACGATATCAGAGAGATTTTATAATTTGATCTTCAGATTTTGATGGTATTAGTTTATGATTTGAATAAGTTCCGAGCCTTGTGCACTTATGGGACCCGTCTCATGAGTGCACGGCGTCTGTCGCGCCTCGAATTCGGGTTTTGGGGCGTGACAGATACAATACAAGAACGAAATAGACGTCTCCTCTATAGGTCATGGCCAGTGTTATAAACCTCCCACTAGCATGTTACACTATTTGCTGGTGTATAATCCCCACTAGTAGGGTCACTCGAACGAACCGGTTCTATCACTAACGTGTCAACATGTGCTAGTGTTTAACCCTCACTAGCAGGGTCACTAATAACATGACCACATCAGAGACAAAACAGGTAGAAGTTAATAGAAAAATCATAATTCACCAATCACTTACAGATCATCAGGACAATTAATTAAATTTCAAGTAAGCATACTCAATTTAATGAAAAGCATAAAAATTTCACTTCAAATCAATCATACTTACTTTTGTATAAAACAGGTTTAGTCCCGCCACCACTTCAAAAACAAGTCAAAACATGCTTTTAAAAACTATACGGGTATTACCATAAATTTACTTAGCTCACTCACTTAAAACCAAAAACTCAATCTCAGTGCTAAATTGACAAAACGATCAGGAGCCTAATCAAAACATCCAAAAATTAATACCCATATAAAACTACATACTTAATCCTTTTTCTATTGTTCCCGACCAATCCCAAAATGCAATATTTATTACTTTTATTTTATTTATATTCATTACCCAAATTGTGTATATATATACATATTTATATACACAAATTCATATATAATTGATTCTACTCCCACGGACAAAACAAAATAGGGGAATAGGACTTTATTTCAATTAATCCTATTTAGCAAAACAATAGCAAATCACGGGATTTTTCTCCAGAAATCGCAACAGCCCAAATCAAACTAATCCTACATAAATTAAGCTAAAAAAAACATGTCAAAAAAGCTACCAAATTCCCCCCATATTCCAGCAGATTTCGGACAACCCATGGGCAGCACATGGAGGAATCAGCTTTGGCAAAAGCAATGGAAATTCATGGGATTTCCACAATTAACCTCACAACAATCAAATTAAGCTAGTTTCTACATGAATCAAACAAAACTCATGCTTGGAGGCTGCCGAATTTCCTCCCCTATTTCAGCAGAATTTCTCGGCAACACAGAAGCAACACTAAATGAGCTAAACTTCAACAAGCATCAATCAATCAACCAATTTTCAAGGTTAGAGACGCTAACATACCACAAAAATTTCCAGCAAGCAATAGCAGGTCCGACTGGTAAAGAAGCCGACGGGAAAAAATTGGGGAACTCACGGGCTACCCAAAATTGAAGGGACAAAACAAAAATCAGAGTAACCCAAGTTAAATTAAGGCTAAAAGGAGGAGACCCATAGCTGTAGCTTACCAGAAAAAGCCCAAAATTCGCACCTCACACAGCAGAAACTCGCGGACAGTAGAGGAGGAAGACGCAGAGCAACGCAGATCTGGAAAATTCTGGGTTTAAGAGAGTGTTCTAAGTCCTAAAATTAGTTCTTTAACAAGAAAAGAAGAGAAAAATAGCAAGCTTTTGCCAATTCCTCAAGAGAGGACTGTCGGCAGCTTGGGGGGCTTGTTGGGAGGAAGAGTCGGGAGGAAGAAGAAGATGAGAAAGAGCAAAACACGTGGCTGAGAGAAATATCAGCCTTGATCCTTATCCTAATTTCTTTTTTTTTTAAGTCCCTGAACTTTGAAAATGTTTGCTATTAAGTTCATTAATAATATTTCTTCACAATTAAGTCCCTAACTCCCACTTTAATGCTCTAGAAATTTTGGGGTATTACAATCACAAATGTAATCATTCTAAGAAAATACATGCACATAAACTACCAAGATAGGAAGAAAGTCATTGCAAGTATTATAAGCTATTAAATAATTCCAACTGTTATATCAATTTCAAGGAAAGTATATATTCGGGTTGAAAGTCCTAACCCATTTGTAAGCACTACCAAATTCATGGAGTGACTACATCGGTGGGGGTATAATGCCTCCTTCTCGCATAGCATTCTCAACCATCTTGAGAAAGACATCAAACTCCTATATCACAATTGACCCCTTCTATTCTCATCACCAAAGAGACAACCTATTTCCATGCCCCAATCCTTGTGCCACCCATCTCATCAACAAACACATAGTACCCCAAACTCTTCGCCAAATACAGGTAGCTGACAACCTTCCCACAAACCATCACCACTTTGCCTAAATAAGGATTGTTCCCAATTAGCAACCTCAAGTCCAAACTCAAGCTTGCCCCCCTACCAATGACCAAAAGCCATAACAGCCCTCTAGCAAAACAATGCCTTTTTACCATGCTCAAAACTCGTTGCAAACTGATAACCTCAAACACTACTTATATTAATTGTTATTTTAGTAATATGTTGTAATTATCTTTTAAATTAAGTGTAAAATTAGAATAAAAACTTTAAATAATATCTTAAAAAAAAATTGACAATTAATTTTTTATAGGAGAGATTATATTAAAAAGTGGAATTGAGATTATATATGAATCCCTAAATCAAGACATCTATAATCAATTAAATGTTGAAAGTTAACTATACTTAGAGATTGGACTGCAATCACTATCGAGATGACATATGCAAAGCTATAAGAGTAGGAAGAACATTGTTTTGGGCATCTTGATCAACTAGACATTCCCAACTGTTATGGCAAACTTCAAAGGAGAGTTGATATTTTGACAAGCAACAGTCCCCACTAATTGAATGTCATATTGAAAAGGAGATACCTTACTTGAAGGAAAGCTAGAGTCTCGTTTAGAGACTACCTAAGTCATGCTTGAATTAACCTAGAGGAGAGCTACCACTATGCTATTTTTCTCTTCAACCTAAGGCAAAATGCAATGACAACCATCGAGAGATAACCTAAGCAAAAAACCCCAAAAGGAGAGAAACTCCCACAAGTAAGAGAGAACTTTCAGAAAGGGAAAGATTCCTCATTTTATTCATCCTCCCTTGTCGCTAAGGTAGAGGGAAACATTGGCCGTGGAAAAAGAGAGAAAGAGATGTTGGGATTTATCTTTATTTTAGATGTTATTTTACTAATGAATAACTAATTTTAAACACTTTAAATTAAGAAATAAGATAACTAAAGTTAAATGAAGGAAGTATTAGATGTGTGAAAGTGAAAAAAATAATAATAATTTTTTATGCCTCAAATAATTAAGATACCTATTTGTCTAAAAAGTTGAGGGATTAATATACAAAAATAAAGTTAGTTTAGGCTCTTGCATGGTTTTGCCTATAATTTCAAAACCATTAAACAAAACGTATGGTTGGATTCACTGTAAAGTGCAGTCTAAGGAAATTTAACTTCCTTAAATACATGTACGATATGGAGATATAATGTGGAGGAATTTTTGAATTTTGATTTTGTGGGGAGACTGTTTGAATGTAAATACAAACAGGAAAACCAAGTTGGGGCTGGGTTTCCCAAAGTGCCACCAAAAAGAGGCGAGAATAGCATGTAAACCTCCGGCACCATTTGTCTGAAGGTCCGGAATGCTCCAGTGCACGTGCCCTTTAAAAATGCCACGTCATCATCATGATGACTATGGTTGATAATAAAATAGAGCCCTTCAGCCCTTGATTTTTCAATTGGGTTTACTAGATCTGATGGTCCAGAGAAAGCCGCATAGGTGTTTGAGGAGCTGAAGATTTTATAGAGAGAAGGAAAAAACCAGACGCAGAGAAAACCCACCAAAGTCCCTGTACTTTTGAGCTTTAATCTGATGGGAGAGGTCTAAATAAACTCCTTTTCTTTTCTTCTCAGTATTTTGAGCATAAACTTTTTCATAAATCTGTTTTGTGTTCTCATTTTAGTTCTTGTTTCTGTTGCAGGAAGAGAAGAAACCGGCGGAAGAGAAGAAAATGGAGGAGAAGGGAACAGAGGAGGGGAAGAAACCTGAAGAGGAGAAGAAAGAAGAAGCCAAACAGGATGAAAAACCAGCTGAGGAAAAGAAAGAACAGAAGAAAGGAGAAGGTAAAGAAGAAGCCCCTGCTCCTCCTCCGCCACCTCCTCCGCCACCTCCTGAAATCATCTTGAAGGTCTACATGCATTGCGAGGGATGCGCCCGAAAGGTCCGCAGGTGTCTCAAAGGCTTTGAAGGTATAAAGTCGTTCAGGAGAGATTTCTTCTGTTCATGATTTGGTTTTTCTAATCGTTATGTTTGTTTTACGGCGGACGGTGATGTAGGTGTGGAAGACGTGATGACAGATTGCAAGAACCATGAGGTTGTAGTGAAGGGAGAGAAAGCAGATCCGATGAAGGTGCTTCAGAGAGTGCAGAGGAAGAGCCATCGGCAGGTGGAGCTTATCTCTCCGATCCCGAAACCGCCGGTTGAGGAGGAGAAGAAAGACGAGGAGAAAGAGAAGCCTAAACCGGAAGAGAAGAAAGAAGAGGTACTCGCATTTATCTTTACTTCTTCCTTTTTTTAGCTCCATCATTGATTCGGCGATTCATTTATGAGATTAACGAAATCTGGTTTTCCGGCTGCTCAACCGCCGCAGGTGATCACGTTGGTGCTGAAGGTTCGCATGCATTGTGAGGCTTGTGCACAACATATCAAAAAAGGCATACAGAAAATGAAAGGTGTGACTTTAATTTGTTTGGATTCAAGATTCACGCAATTAGGCTGATTTTTTTTTTTTTTTAAAGAGTTTCTTTTGTTGGAACTCTTATAAAAAGGACTTTGTTTTTGTTCCCTCACCAGTCTTTCAAAATCAAGCAATTCTTTTTGTATAGTTTATTGAATTAGATTCCATTGAATTGAAGTCAATAAGCTTCTTTAATCTTTGATTCTGAGTCAAATCTCAACTACCCCATGTCAAAATTCTTGACATCCAAGCACTTAAATACATCTGCAATGGTTTGATTTTGTGAAAATTAATTCCAGGAGTGGAATCGGCAGAACCAGATCTGAAGAACTCTGAGGTGACGGTGAAGGGAGTGTTTGATCCGCTGAAGCTGGTGGACTACGTGTACAAGCGAATTAAAAAGCAAGCGGTAATAGTGAAACAAGATCCAGAGAAGAAAGAAGATGCCAAAGGTGCCAGCAAGGACAATAAAATGGAGGAAGAAGGTGGGTACAAAAAAAGGGAAGAAGGCGGTGGAGACGACAAACAGAAAAAGGAGGGTGGTGACGGCAGTGACGATAAGGGCACGACGGAAACTGCCGCAGATAGTAGCGCGGAAGAGACCAAAGTGGAGATGAAGAGGAATGAGTACTATCATTACCCGCAGAGGTACGCCATGGAGATGTATGAATACCCACCTCAGATCTTTAGCGACGAGAATCCAAACGCTTGTTCTGTTATGTAAAAGTCAAGGATGTTAGGGGGCATTATGGTAATTGAAAAGAAATGATCTTGTTCACTAGGTGCCTTCTTTGTACCGTCTAGTAGCCGCATTCAGTGCAATCTACAGATAAGATAAGCATAAGCTGTAGGATTTTGAGAGTCCTTTTCTCTGTACTTTCTTTACCCTTTCATTCTCACCTTTTCCTTTAGTAGTAATGTATACATAAATAATTATAATATCATAAGATGTTATGATTTGAAATCTTTGTACAAAGTTTCTTCTGTATTTCTTTTTGGGCTAAATGTAATTTTTTATCTACTAACTATTACTCTCTTTTCATTTTAGTTTAAAAAGTTTAGTTTCTTTTAAAATTATCTATAAACTTTAAAAATCATTTTAAATTCATCTATTCAATAAATTGCTGTTAGTTTGTTTAACAGAACACCATGGCATGGCACATACAGTTATGAAAGATTATA